CATTTTTCGATTATCTTACCTTGATACTTTTATGTACAAAATAATGAGAGAAATCAATTGGTGTAAAGAAAACACATAGTTGTTTCTAAGAAAAAATATGGAATTTGCAATTAACAATTCCATATTTTTTGTTAAAAACAACTGTATGTTTTCTTTACACCGATTGATTCCTCTCATTATTTTGTACATAAAAGTATTAAGGTAAAATAATCGAAAAATGAATATTTTATAAGATATTTTACGGTTTATGTAAAATTAAAAAATGATTTCAAGCCTCATAACTTGGAAAGTACTCAATGAAAACTAACATAATTGTAGTGTTTTGGAAAGCTCTTGAGATGAGCTACAAGAATATGCAAAAGCATATAAGGTGTCCCATTTAAAAAGTTGGAGCTGACCTTCACGTGACCTACGGGTGGCTCTTCAAGATTAAACTAATGACACCATCATATGTCCCCCTTGAAACCATACAACTTTTGTCTGAACAATTTTTTTGTATTCGGCTTACCAACGGAGTTATTCAGGTGGCCTGTTTTAGATGCCTCACCCTGTATACATATTGTATATATACATATTGTTTGATTTTTTGCGTGAACGTCCCGGTTCCACGGGCGACGCAAGTCGAGGCATAAGCCTCTAGATTTCTTTTTTGTTGTAGCCTTGTTGTAACTTTGAGGGTGTATGAAACTCTTTTCTTCTTAATTCTTCTGTCTTTTTTTTAATAATTATTCTGCTTTTAATAATTATTGCTCTAACGATTGATTTGTGGTAGTGATATGATTAGCAAGACCCTGTCCACCGGCTCCGAAAAGCTTATATATTGATTTATCGAAAATGAAATTTATAATGATACAGAAGAAAGCCAAGACAAGGGGCAAACTCCAAGAATAGATCGCATAAATAATTGTTTTTTTCCGTTGTTTGATTTTTCTTTGGATTTATAAAAATAATAAGATAGAGAAAATGAAACTAAAGACAACATGTCATCAAGGAAATTTTCTGATTTGAAGGAGTGGTTTGGAATATATGTATATAAAAGCATATATATGTATATATATGTATACAGAATTCAAGGTGTCAGGACTATCTGTTTAAAAAAAAAGTTTGTAGCTTACCTCGAGAGCTTCTCAAAACACTAATAAAGTATTTTTTTATCGAGTACTTTTCGAGTTATGAGGCTTGAAATAATTTTTTTAATTTTTACATAAATCATAAAATATCTAGTAAAATATTAATTTTTCGATTATCTTACTTTTAATACTTTTATGTACAAAATAATGAGAGGAATCCATTGGTGGCAAAGAAACACATAATTGTTTCAAAGAAAAAATATGTAATTGACAATTGCAAATTCATCATGTCACAATTCACCATTCACAATTCCATGTTTTATTCTATTGTACGTATTCATAATATACATTTGTTTCTCGAGAGCAATATACAACTTCCAGGTTTTTAATATCGAATCTATTTATAGTAGAACTTGTTTTATTATTTTTGTAGAAGAATTGATTATAGATTTGTATACGACGTTTTATAATAATTAAAATTGTGTTACCATAATTTGATTTTGTTGTAAACTTAAAAAGTTATTTATTATGTGATTTATTATTGTTTTTTAAAGTAATAATACTTTAGTCATATTTTTAATAATTATTAAATAAAAATTTTATAGAATTATAATAATGTTACATAAATTTTCAGCACTAATGCGTCATTGTCATTGATCAGCATCATTGAAGAAACTGTTGAAAATCAACGTTACCAAAGAGGTTTAGTCAGTTTCTTGATGTCACTTCTATTATTACATCATCAAAAAGTTTTGTTCCGTAGAACAATGGTGAATGAATCAAAAAATTAATTGTTTGACCTATTATAAGGAATATTGTTTCCACATTAAAATTATGAACAATACGAGAGAGTCTGATTTGTTCTAAACCACGAAAAAGTCGCGAAGAATGAATTTAATGAGTGATTTAGGTAAGCATCGAATTTTGAATACTTGGAAAATTCTGTATTAAATTTTTATTTTATTTTAAGTTCAGGTGTATAAATAATCTTTTTAATAAAAAATTAAAAAGAATAGAATATTGATACGTGTCAGAAAGAATTTAAATAATTTACATAATTATATGATATAAAATAACTTTATTACGCTTATTACTATTTTTCATGCTTCCGCTAACAAGTTATTTCTGTTTATCTTGTAGCGTTCTTTCAGCGATAAATATTTTATCTTCAGAAATTATTATAAAACAAGACTGAAATTTTATCGCACGATATCGTACGTTATATTGCATTTTAGCAAAATACAATGTAATATGAAAAAAGAAAGTATGAATATATTCGTTTTATTTCAAAATCTACTGTATTCCAAAGTCTATTATTTATTATCTTGCCACTCATATATGTGTTTCAATTTTTTATTTTTCTTAAAGTAAAATTATTTTTTTTTAAACCTGTTTGTACGTATATTACTGGTAGTTTTCAAATTTGAAAAATATTTTTTATAAGTTGTTTATATATATTATCAGTAATGCAAGAAGTAATTAAAAACGACCACACTGGCAAATTTTATTAAAGTGAATCACGACGTTTCGACCATGGTTTTGGTCCTTTTCGAGTGAACTACAACAAATTATTTCCAATATTACACAAAAAATAAATTACATTGATTTTGAAATAAAAAATGAGCGGCAAGTTAAATACATACAATAATTTTGTTAACTATTCTATCGTGAGAAATAAGGAAATCCCTTCGTCAAGATTGTCATGTCAACCGTCTCCATCAACACACAGAGAAAGACTAGACAACCTTTATTAGTCTATCATAAATATTGTTTAAATTTTTAGTGTCCTTTTGTAAGTTGATCGTGTTGTCAAACTTTTTTATAAAAAACATTTCCGCGATTTCTCTCTTTCTCATGTGTTTCTCATGTAAAATAACTTCTTATGTAAAATAACTGGTAATGACCAATCGAAGTCATGATTAAATTCAACTTTATGTTTACTGATAACAGAAAAATTACTTTCGTGCACTTTTATGTTGTTGCGATGTTTTTTTACACAAGTGCTTACATGTCTTTTTGTTTGGCCAATATATGACTTATTACAATTTTTGCAGTCTAATTTGTAAACGACTTCCGTCCTGTTATTAGTAGACAGCCTGTCTTTACCATGTTTAATTAATGCGTTGAGTTTTTTAGGCACATTGTAGACGACATTAAGACCTATATTTTTAAAAACGCGACCAATTTCACTACTCAAGCCCTCCACAAACGGCAAGGAGATGTACGACGATGTAACTGCATTGTTGGATTCATTGTCCATATTTGCGTTATCACAGTGTTTTAAAAAATATAATCTTTTTTGTACATAGCGGTTAATAATATGATTTGGGAAGCAATTATTGGAAAGAATCTGCTTAATGATGTCAATATTTTTGGAATAAAATCGAGTATCTGCCAATAAAATGGCGTGGTCAACAAGATTGTAAATGGTGTTCATTTTATATTGAAACGGATGTTTAGAATAAAAATTAGTATATCTATTGAAACAGGTGGGTTTCCTGTACCAATCAGTCAAAAGACGACCATCCGATCGGATAACCCACCTGTTCCAATAGATATACTAATTTTTATTCTAAACATCCGTTTCAATATAAAATGAACACCATTTACAATCTTGTTGACCACGCCATTTTATTGGCAGATACTCGATTTTATTCCAAAAATATTGACATCATTAAGCAGATTCTTTCCAATAATTGCTTCCCAAATCATATTATTAACCGCTATGTACAAAAAAGATTATATTTTTTAAAACACTGTGATAACGCAAATATGGACAATGAATCCAACAATGCAGTTACATCGTCGTACATCTCCTTGCCGTTTGTGGAGGGCTTGAGTAGTGAAATTGGTCGCGTTTTTAAAAATATAGGTCTTAATGTCGTCTACAATGTGCCTAAAAAACTCAACGCATTAATTAAACATGGTAAAGACAGGCTGTCTACTAATAACAGGACGGAAGTCGTTTACAAATTAGACTGCAAAAATTGTAATAAGTCATATATTGGCCAAACAAAAAGACATGTAAGCACTCGTGTAAAAAAACATCGCAACAACATAAAAGTGCACGAAAGTAATTTTTCTGTTATCAGTAAACATAAAGTTGAATTTAATCATGACTTCGATTGGTCATTACCAGTTATTTTACATAAGAAGTTATTTTACATGAGAAACACATGAGAAAGAGAGAAATCGCGGAAATGTTTTTTATAAAAAAGTTTGACAACACGATCAACTTACAAAAGAACACTGAAAATTTAAACAATATTTATGATAGACTAATAAAGGTTGTCTAGTCTTTCTCTGTGTGTTGATGGAGATGGTTGACATGACAATCTTGACGAAGGGATTTCCTTATTTCTCACGATAGAATAGTTAACAAAATTATTGTATGTATTTAACTTGCCGCTCATTTTTTATTTCAAAATCAATGTAATTTATTTTTTGTGTAATATTCGAAATAATTTGTTGTAGTTCACTCGAAAAGGACCAAAACCATGGTCGAAACGTCGTGATTCACTTAAATAAAATTTGCCAGTGTGGTCGTTTTTAATTATTTCTTGTATTTTATTTACTGGCGACCTTCAAGAATTTAACGTTATTATCTGTAATATTACTTTCTCTCTCTCTCTCTCTCTCTCTCTCTATATATATATATATATATATATATATATATATATATGTATATATATATATATATATATATGTATATATATATATGTATATATATATATATACATATATATATCTCCACCTGTTGCTCTCGTTCTTCTCTATACATTAAGTTTGTCAAAAATGTTAATTTCTGTAAATCGATTAGGGTATTTAAAATTTTTTTTTTTCAAAAAAGGTAATACGTAAAAATTTTATGATAATGCATAAAATTTGTTTTTTATAAAAAATAATAATTTTCAAATTACAGTACAACAATTGACATCACATTTAATTATGTACAAATTAAAATTAAAAGATAAGATATACACATCTAATGGAATTAGAGATATATGAGAGATACATAAATGTACACATTTATGCATCACATATCAATTAGATATTCTAATCTTGACAAGGATAAACATATATAAAATTATATATTCTCATCAGACAAATTTTTTGTGTGACGATTCGCTTTTCCATAATTAATGTTTTTCCGTTAAAAAATTGTTCTTGACATGGTACAGTTATTCAAACTTGTAACCTTTTATTCGAAGTTTTGGAAAAACACTTGCAATTCTGACAGAAACGCTTCAATAGTTGTCGCATGATTGTCTTTTTACACACGAATATGATGAATGTACCGATATGTTGCATGGCGTCCACCACCAAAATAATACAAGCAATGTATATCTGAATTGACTCGTTATATTTCTCTTTATAAAATATAAGTCCCGACGTTATTATAATCCAATTTATGGCCATTATGATAAATAACATAATAAACAGGCTGAGATACAGATTGAACCTGCAAATGAATATATCTCTTTCATATTTTCTAAAGTTATGATATATTTGATTCTAAAAATATATTATAAGCGAACACATTTTAAGTAATTTGTTTTATAGAGATAATATTTCCTTCGAAAAAATCATAAGTATTTCATATTATTAAATATATTTAAATAACTATATAATAAATACTACTTAAATTAAAATTGAAAACAACGATGTACAAGAGAGCTCGTATTTATGAAAATATATTGTCACCAATAAAGAAGTCTCAAAATGATTATCTCTCTCTTTCTCTTGTATCGGAAATGATCAAAAAAGCAATTGATTTTATTAAAAACAATACCGTTGACTACTATCAACGGTATTGTTTTTAATAAAGTGAGTACAGCGGGATATGTCTTATTGTTAAACAAGACTGATTATACATTGATATAAAAATGTTTGTGTACAAACCATCGCTTGTTGTCATTATAAAATCTGCTATCTGAATCTCTTAAATGACGAGCTGTGTCCTTTTCATAACGCATAATTTTCAATGCTGTGTAAATAGATAAGCAAATGCTACTAATAATACAAACACTTCGCGGCACGTAAAAATACAATCGATACCCTGCAAAAATAAATAATAAACTTCTTTACATCACATGTTACACATATAACAGAAGAATATACTTTTATTTTTAAAGTGAATTCTCAAAAGGTTAATTAATTAGATGTTTTGTTAATAGAGTTATGTTAATAGTGACATACACTTACCTTCAAAAGAAAAAAAATCCATGCAAAAATCCAGTCCAATGCCATCAGAAGGTTGTTTCTCCAACTTGGGAATAAAATCCATGATAATATAAATGATAGTAAAAATGGAGGAACCTCCCCAAGCAAAGATAGAATATATTAATTTTTTTCTCTCTTGTTTTACTCTCTTGTTTCTGTGTAACAAGCGAAAATCTCTGCGAAATGCAAAGTTTGCTTTACAATTAGTTAATAACAAATAAAATAAATTGCGATGCAAATATTAAAGTAAATATGCCTTCCATCAAATATCTTGAATGTTTGTTGTATGTAAACTATAAAAAAAATTATTTATGCTATATAATGTCACAAAATAATAAATATTACCATATATTCTAATAGATCGATATTTTAATAACATTAGATTAATTTTGGTTCAGCAAAATGTTTAATAAAAAAATTAGAAATCAATTTTCGTTAAAAAGCTTGAGTATTTTGTAATATTATATATAAAAAAGAAAAAAAAATTTAAACAATATTGGCTTAAGATTTATAAAATTTAAAGAATGAAAAATCACAAAACGATTAATAATATTATACTATGAATTTTATTATATATATATATATATATATATATAATATATATTATATTATATATATATATATATATATATATATATATATATATTAAACAATTTACCTAAATGTCCACCAAATGTCGAAACTCATTACATTTAACCAGAAAGAACATGATATAAAACAGAAATAGTTGAGTAAAGCTGCAACAATAAAATAAACAATTTTAAAATGTCACTAATTGACAAGTATTTTGTATATCATTAGAAACTATATTATATTATAAAAAGTTTTTCTTCAACTTTGACAGTAAGAATTTATCACAGAAAACAATAGAAATAATTAATACACGTTAATATTAAATTAATTAATGTTTTGATTTCAGAAATATATAACTCTTTAACTATATAACTCTCAACTTCAACATTTTAATAATATTATTAAAAAAATGTTAGGCAAAGTAACTTAAATTGTGTTTTACGTTAAAATAAAATAAAATATTATTTATATTTATATTTTAATTTTTTTATATATTTATATTTTAATTTTTTCCACTATTAAGCCTTGTTTAGAATATTATAATATATCGTACATTCGAGTTTTATCGTAAAAAAAATTAATAAAAATTAAGTATCAATGTACTTTAGCTAATGTACGATATACTATAATTTTATAAACACAAGAATTAATAGTGAAAAAAATTGGTAATTATGCTTAAAAGGGACCTTCCCCTCCGATTTGGCTCATTTTTAAATATGTTGTAGGGCAGGTCTTCCCGAATAATTTCATATACATATATATGAAATTACTCAGGAAGACCTGCCCTACAACATATTTAAAAATAAACCAAATCGGTGGGGGGGGCCTTTTATGCATAATTATCAAAAAATTAATATTATTTCATTTTATTTTAACGTACAATAAAATTTAAATTAGTATTTTTCCTAAATATTTTTTTAGTACAAAAATTAATAAAAGAACTAATGTATACACTGCATTGACTGCATTATTACATGATTTGACTATACTGTACCAATTATGACACAGGTGAAACTTGAAATAGCTACTTCATTTATTAATGATGGATGGAATAACTCTAATAAAGCAAATATAATTTCAATTATGTATCCGAAAATTAAAAAACTGCAGTATTTGCGCAGCATAAAACTATGTATATTACGAAGCTTCGGCAGCATAGAATACACCACAAATGTTGTCAACAAACACAACACAGACACTATACGGCAACTCAAATATAAAAATTTTAATATGTTTAAGATATCTATTTCTGATTTTCCACTATATCTGATGAAGATTTCGTTCACAGCCTCCAAGCAGATAAATGCATCTAATTGATTATCATCCCCGATGGCCAAACAATAAGATGCTGATTCGAATATATCGATATCAGGAAAGTACAGAGAGCTGTTTGCGAAGAACATATACTCGAAAGAATTGTTCGGATAAAGAACAAAAGGTACAGTTTTCTGGCACAGATTTTGTACGGTTAGTGGAAAAAGCTCGTCCATCTTCTTATTTCCGCTCTGTATCGAATTGTTTGAATAGCTATATACGTTTGGGAAAACATATTCACTTGCATTAGCAATGCAATTCTTGCCATCAAAGAGATCACCAAGCGGACAACAGAGCAGAATGCAAGTTATATTGGCACATTTTTCGTATGGAAGAATGTGAGTTTTATTATTATTGTTCCTTTTGCTTATAATAAATTTCGTATGATTATATGTTTTCTCCCATATGTTGTCGTCCCGTATATTGTCGTTCCATATGTTGTCTTTGTTGTCACTTGTGAAGTTTCCCAAAGTCGTTGAAGATAAAGTGATAAATAATACTACGCAAAACCAAAATGCAAAACTTTCACCGCACATCGTCAACAAATTGTGAAATCAACTTTTTTTAATCTACAATTTCTTAATTTGCTATGTTACGATCACAGCGAATTTTTCAAAATGCGCATGATACTGTTCGTCTGCGATGGTTAATTCACGACAACAACACTCTCTATCTAAAGACAAAACTTGTAAAACTAGTTATTTTAAAATAGAAGACACATTCGCGCGACTAATAAGATGCGATCATCATTGACTTATTAATGAAACAACTTATCGATTTTAAAATATACACGATACTTTGTAGAAAAAAACTTTATTGCTAAGCTACAGTTTGAAAAATATACTATAATATTTAAGAATTTTATGGAACAACAGATAAATAATGAAAACTTTTTTATTTATATTAAATATATTATATCATTGAAAAATTTATCTCAAAAAACAATTAAAAAATCACAATTACGGATGTAAAAAAATTTTATTCATTTTTTTATCTCAGTTTTTATCTCTATTTAAAAATGATAATATATCTATTTAAATGGAAATTGTGGAATTTTATGCAATCCGGTTTGCAGTTATTTATATTTCATGTACAATCGGAGGATTTACATCTGGAACAATTAATTAAAGGAATAATTGGATTTTTAGGATATTGGAGATAGAATGATAGCACAAATGATGCCGACTATTTTTGACTAATAATTTTTTTTTTTTTTTTTAAGAAAATACTTTTCCATTCGCATAGATTTCTTCAAAATAATACAATTATACAAGAAATGTAATGTACAAATTATGTACAAGTTGTACATTATTAATGTACAAATTGTATATCGTTCTGGATATAAAAATCGTGCATCCAGAAAAATATAAGTCAATTGCAAATACCATTTAATACCATTTATATTCGATATTATGGTAAATTAAATGATTTATGTATTTAACAATTCATTTATACATCATGATGTATTTATGTCGGATATATGATAAATTATATATTTGATATTTTTATAAATTCATATAATTCATATAATATAATTCATATAATTCATATAATATAAAAAATATTTATATATAAATATACATATAGATATTAATGAGATATGTAAAAGGCTTAAAAAGAAGAATAAAATTAAATAATGACAGTTATGTGTGTTGACAATAAAATAGTCAATAGACGTATGAAAAAGAAATAATAATAAATTTCGAGATTTTCGAGAAATATTTGATTCAACCCGTGTAGAAAAAGTAATAAGGTTTTAAAAAAGACCTGATTAATATGCCTTAAAATTAATCGAGCCCTATTAAATATAGAACGCTTGGACCGTGCATGGCTTGTAACAAATGATGTTTTAGGACCTGATATTATCAGGATCCTATGTGGAAACACTATCGGAACCTCATCAAAAAATTTTATATTGTCCGCAATTTGAAATTTCATAAATATTTATAGGATATGTAAACCAATATTTTGTAGATATCACGCAACATTCAGTGGATATTTATATAAATATATTTACTATTATATATTTATATTTATTTCTACATTTATGCCATCTTCTATGATACATATATGAATTCGCCATAAAAAAAATTAACCATGTGCGGTTAATTTTTAGAGCTCTAGGGCTCCTCTCGCAACAAATATAGAAGAGATGCGGCTATAACAGCCTTCGAGCTAATGCGCTCTTTGACCGATAAACTGTGATTCGCGAGACCTGTGCCGTGGCCTTATATACTGTCGTACAATTAGATGGATTCTACTTTCGGGTTAGGCATTTTCCCTTTCGCCTTTCGCCTAGCGGCGATAATATATATATATGTATGTATCTAAAAATTTTTATTATTTTGTATAATGAAAATTATGAAATAAATAAGATATTTTTAATAGAAATTCTTTGTTTATTAATGTTATTATTAATGCAATATTATTAACTTCTTTCAAAATTTTTATAAATTGATACTACATGAATTCTTCATTTTAAAAATGTGGCGCAATTAAGAAATTATCCTTATAAAGACCTTTAAATTTACTTTTATTAAAGCCTGAGTTTTAAAATTAAAGCAACATTAGAAAATCCTTCTAAGGTCCTTGTAGATTAACATTAACAAAATCTTATTTTTTAAAAATGTCGAATATATATATATATATATATATATATATATTTAAAATATTTTCATAACATCCTAATAAGTTTTACTTTTCACTGCACTTATCTGCTACTTATCTGCAATATTAAACTAAAGCATTATTAAAAGCGAATTTCTCTTAAAGCTCTCATATATATAAAACAGTATTGATAACAGATAATGATCTTATTTTAAAAAAGTGCAGTATACTTAAATAATTCTTAAAAGGATCTAATGTATTTAATAGAACTTCAAATTAAACTGTAAATTAAACATCGGATAACTATTATAGTTTTTTTAATTATATGTCCTTAGTAATATTTAATAAGGCCCCATATTGATGATGATAGAATATCCTTTTTTATGGTATCCTTACATTATTCTTATCAGGGCCAATAGTTTCATGTACTAGCCCTAATAATTTTCTAACGGGATGATTTATCGCCAGAAACAACTTTACAAAGTTAAAAAAAGGCGTCATATATATATATATATATATATATATATATATATATATATATAAAAATATCTTTAAAAAATCTAACATACATTTTCTGTAGAAATAATGTAAATTTTTACAAAAAACGATAATATCCGCATAAACAATCTTATAGAGATAAAAAAGTACGCCAAATACATGAAAAAAATCTTTAATAAAATAAAAAAATCTAAAAGAGTGATAAAAATAAAATATATAAAACCTATATGAGATCAATATTGTTGGCTCTCTCTCTCTCTCTCTCTCTCTCTCTCTCTCTCTCTCTCTCTCTCCTCTCTCTCTCTCTCTCTCTCTCTCTCTCTCTCTCTCTCTCTCTCTCTCTCTCTCTCTCTCTCCCCCTCACCCCCCCCCCCACCCTTTTGCTCTCGTTCTTCTTTATACATTAAGTTTACTAAAAATATTAATTTTTTCTATAAATCGATTAGGATATTTTCGAAATTTTTTTTTAAAAAGGTGAAGCATAAAATTTGTATAATAATGCATAAAATCTGTTGTAACAGCGTATTCGATAGATCGTGCACGATCGCGACTAAGGTCGTAATTAAAGTCGGCAAAGCGACTACATTAAACCTTAAACCGTTGATGATTTCCTCCGTGGCCTTCGTTATCTTCCATTGCTTAAACCATCGATCAGTGAAAGGGCGACTCAACAGCCCTACGGCTCTTGAATGATCAGAGATCAATGGCGAAATCAATCGTAGCGCGACAATCAAAGGATTATGAGACAAAGGCGAAAATATTTTCGTTATCCGAATACGTTCCCAGGCGTCGTCGCGAGTCAGAATGTAACCCGAGGCGTTATCACGAAGAATTCGCTGCGTAACAATTTATAAAAATAAAAAAAGTTCGTATGTATGACATGCATAAATTACAATCAAAAAAGTGCATACGAAACCACAGAATGAGTACGAAAGCATTGACCCTGATTTATTCCATCTGTTTTTTTACACAAAATAATTTTAAATTGCTCAAGCTGCAAAACAATTTACATCGCATTTAAATATGTACAAATTAAAATTAAAAGATGAGATACATATCTAACATCTGAAATTAGAGCTACATGAGAGATACATAAATGTACATCGCAGGTAGCAAGCACACGTCATTTTGACGTTCCAAACTGGTCATTTTTGGTCATATATTGTCAAAATGACTGATTTGTTATATGACTTTATATTGATGTCTTGATATAACATTATTTTAACGTCATTTTTCAGTCATGAAGTAATGATTATTTTATTATTAATGTCATTAGTTAGTACATCGATCCCATAAAAAAAATCTTTAAAAATTTTTTATATAACATGACTTTCGCGATCAAACTTTAACAACTGTTATAGTAAAATTCACTGTAAAACCAGTAAATTTCACTGTAAAACCAGTAATCGCTAGTTCGTTCGTTTACCGCTATGATCGCTATCTCTCTCGTATTTAGTTTCAGTCATGAGAATTATATAAAGTTTGAAAAAGAATGACAGATAAAATTAGAAATATTACTTCGATTTAATTTCTCATATAATCTCAATAAAGAGGCTTCAGATATTAAATCGATTTTATAAGTTGGACAAATAAATGTCTAGCTAGCTAATGAAAATTATTTGATCGTTATTTATTTGAAATAACAAGTTCAACATACATGTAATATAAATAAAATAAAATTATTAATATATAATTAATATATAATATATAATAATATATTAATATATAATAAATATTTAGTAAATATGAATAAAATTTTTAATTTTATATATATTTATTTATATTTATATATATTTATTTATTTTTATATTATATATTATATATTATTATATTTATATTATATTTATGAAATAGACAGATGAATTGTAGTTTAATATTACTGCGCAATAACGAAAGAAATATTACTGCGATATTACTGAAATAGTCAAAATTATTAACTGATTCTTTCAATAAAATATCACTGATTTACAGTGCTGTACTTATAACTGCTGTAATCAGTAACTATTTACTGTTTTTCAGTGATAATACACTGATTCACTTTTAGAGAGTACTTTATTCGACAATACTATTAAATATATTATTATGCTAAGGAAAAGACGTCAAAATATGATACATTTTATGACGTCAAAATGCGGTACATGCTATGACGCCAAGAATCTGACATTAGACCTTTCACTTTTACGTCATAAAAACATCAATTCGTGACGTTTCAAGAATAATCAGTGAATGACCCATTTGATACGTCAAAATGATGTGTACTTGCTACCTGGGACACTTATGCATCATACCATATATCAAATTAGATCCTAATTTCAACAAGGATAAATATATATAAGATTATACATTCTCATCGGACAAACTTTTTGTTTGACGGTTTGCTTTCCCATAATTAATGTTTCTCCATTAAAAAATTGTTCTTGACATGGTACAGTTATTCAAATTTGTAACCGGTTTATGTCGAAGTTTTGGAAAAAAACTTGCAATTCTGACAGAAACGCTTTAATAGCAATCGTATGATTGTCTTTTTACACACGAATATGATGAACGTACCGATAACTTCCATGGTGTTCAATACAATAATACTACGAAGAACGTACAACATTGTAATATAATCAGACAGCCAAAATTCGTACACTGATGTTATAATCCAATTTATGGCTATTATGATGAACAGCATGATAAACAGTCTTAGATACAGACTGAACCTGCAAATATTATAATAATTTCACATTATTAAATATATTTAAATAACTATATAATAACTAGATACTACTAACTTAAATTAAAATTGGAAACAACGATGTGTTTGTACAAGAGAGCTCGTATTTATGAAAATATATTGTCGTAAGAAGTCTCAAAATGATTATCTCTTTCCTTCTCTTGTACCGAAAATCATCAAAAAAGCAATTGATTTTATTAAAAACAATACCGTTGACAAGTGAATACAGCGGGACATGTCTTATTGTTAAACAAGACTGATTATACATTGATATAAAAATGTTTGTGTACAAACCATCGCTTGTTGTCATTATAAAATCTGCTTTCTGAATCTCTCAGATGACGGGTTGTGTCCTTTTCATAACGCATAATTTTCAATGCTGTGTAAATAGTTAAGCAAATGCTACTAATAATACAGATACTACGCGGCCCATAAAAATACAATTGAAACCCCGTATTCTCTAAAATAAATAATAAACTTCTTTACATCAAGTATTGCCAATAAAACAGAAGAACATACTTTTATTTTTAAAATGAATTCTCAAATGGTTTATTAATTAGTTTTGTAATAGAGTTATGTTAATAGTGACATACACTCACCATCAAACCAAGAATCATTGACACATATTTCCGGTCGGATTAAGTTTTCCGGCACGTTGGGTACGAAATCCATGATAATACAAATGATAGTAAAAATGAAGGGACCTCCCCAAGCAAAGATAGAATATATTAATTTTTTTCTCTCTTGTTTCACTCTCTTGTGTCTTTGTAACAAGCGACAATCTCTACAAATGCAGAGTTTACTTTACAATTAATTAGTAACAAATAAAACAAATTGCGATGCAAATATTAAAATAAATATGCCTTCCTTCAAATAACTTGAATGTCTGCTTTATATAAACTATAAAAAACTGATTTATGCTATAATGTCTCAAAATAACAAATATTACCATATATTCAAATATATCGATATTTTTCTACCATTAAATTAATTTTGATTTAGAGCAAAATGTTTAATAAAAAATTTAGAAATTAATTTCCGTTAAAAAGTTTATTTTGTATTACTATTTTGTATTATTATGTAAAAAAAAGAAAAAAAATTTTAAACAATATTGGCTTAAGATATATAAAATTAAAAAGAATATAAACTCACGAAAAGGTTAGTAACATTATATTATAAATTTTGAAATTATATTATGAATTTGTTTATAATTTAATATAACTTTATTAATAATTTAAAATATTTTATTTTAATAATCATTAATAGCATTAATATCATTTTTCCTTTAACAATTGAATGCATGCTTATGAAATACACATCAATTTTTTGTTTTAGAAAAAGCAGATTAGAAATTTCCAACAGAAAAAAATGTACATGTTTCTGAAATGCAACCTGTGTCATATCTGTATTAAAATGATCGTTTCTTAAGTCAAATAATTATTTTTATACTATGAATTAACAAGACACGGTATATTCTTTCGGATCATATATTCTTGCAAATCAATATTCTTTTTTATCTTTATGGATTGTTATAGACATAAGCTGAATGTATCATTTATGCATATCACACATAAATATTTTATCATATCATGCTCGCGTCATATAAAAAATGTCACAATCTTATAAAAATAAATTTATATTATAGATATATATTATTATATATTTATTATATATATTTATTTTATTATTATATATATATTATATATATTTATATATATATATATTATATATATATATATTTAATATATATATATATATATATATATATATATATATAATATATATTAAACAATTTACCTAAATGTCCATCAAATGTCGAAACTCATTACACTTAACCAGAAAGAACTCGTCAAAAAACAGAAATACCTGAGTAAAGCTGCAACAATAAAATAAACAATTTTAAAATGTCACTAATTGACAAGTATTTTGTATATCATTAGAAACTATATTATATTATATAAAGTTTTTCTTCAACTTTAATAGTAAGAAATTATCACAGAAAACAATATAATTAATTAATACACGCTAATATTCAATTAAATAATGTTCGGATTTCAGAAATATATAACTTTAGATTTTAATAATATTATCAAAAAATATTAGGCAAAGTAATTTAAATTGTATTTTACGTTAAAATAAAATAAAATATTATTTTAATTCTTTTCACTATTAATTCTTGTTTATTAAATTTTAGTATATCGTACATTCAAGTTTTATCGTAAAAAAGTTAATAAAAATTAAGTACCAATGTATTTTTTTTATTAATGTGAAGTGAAAAAAATTAAAATAATATTGGGTAAACAAAAAGACATTTTCGCACTCGAGTGAAAGAACATTTTAGTAATATAAAATTACATGAAACGAATTATTCCGTCATAAGTAAACATAGATTGGAATCTGGACATGAATTTGACTGGTCGAAACCTAATATTTTACACAATGAAAAATATGTACGAAAGAGGGAAATTGCTGAGATGTTTTATATTAAGAAATTCAATAATTTAATCAACCTACAGAAAAACACGGATAGTTTAAACATCTACGACAAAATAATAAAGGTCGTGTAGTTTGCTATTATTTTTCATTTAACATATTCAGTTCGTTGATGAAGTCTCACACTGATACATCGTTTTATCTCTCGATTTTAAATTTTGTAAGATGTAATGATCGTGCAAACGTGACTTGTGCAGTTTACAATACTATGATTTATATCTATCTTTTGAGCTGTATGTACAAATTGTTCACATTTAATTCGTGTGTGTACTGTTTATTCAAACCATTGAAAAATCTAATTGTTAAAATCATTTTCCAGTATATATTTGAAAAGGACCACAACAATATGGTCGAAACGTCGAAAAATTTAGTAAAAATTCTGGCTAGTTTTAATCGATTACATTATTTCCAATGATCCTTTGATTAATTGATTAGTTTAAATTAAAATAATATTTTATTTTAATTTAACGTACAATAAAATTTAAATTACTTCGCCCAAATATTTTTATGTTAGAAAAATTAATAAAAAAAGAAATTAATAAAATATTAATGTATACATTGCATTGACTGCATTATTATATGATTTGACTGTACTGTACCAATTATGACACAGATGAAATATGAAATATCTTCTTTGTTCATTGGATAGAATGATTTCAAAAGTTGGAAATATATAATCTCAATTATGCATCCGAAAAATAACAAACTGCAGTATTTGCACAGCATGAAACTATGTATGTTACGAAGTTCTGGCAGTATAGAATACACCACAAATGTTGTCAACGAACACAACATAGACATTATATAGCAACTCAAAAATAAAAATCTCAATTCGTTTGAGATTTCATTTATGATCTCGTTTTTTATGTTATCCATATTTTTATTGATTTTGTTCACAGCCTCCAAGCAGATAATTGCATCAAATTGATTATGATCCACGACGGCCAAACAATAAGATGTTGATTCGACAAATATGTCGAAATAAGGAAGATACAGAGAGCTGTTTGCGAAAAACTTATACTTCAAGTATTTGAAATAATAGTCCGGATAAAGAAGAAAACGTTTAATTTTCTGGCACGGATTTTGAACGATTAGTGGAAAAAGCTCATCCACTTTTTTATTTTCGCTCTGTATCGAGTTGTTTGAATAGCTATATATGTTTGGGAAAACATATTTATTTTTATTAGCAATGCAATTCTTGCCATCCAAGCGATCACCGAGTGGACAACAGAGCTGTATGCAAGTAATATTACTGCATTTTTCGTATGGAACGGTGTAATTTTTATTATTATCATTATTCGTTTTGTTTTTATTAAAGTTTGTATGATTATATGTCTCCTTCCATATGTTGTCCTCTTTGTTAGCACTTGTAAAGATTCGCGGAGTCGTTGAAGATGAAGTGAAAAGTGAAACTATGAAAAGCCCATATGCAAAACTTTCACCGCACATCATTAACAATTTGAGAATACAATTTAATTTTTTTATTATCTGCAATTTTTTAATCTGCTATGTTACGACCACAGCGATTTTTTTTAAATACGCATGATATTATTCGTTTGCGATGGTTAAGTCACGACATCATTCTCCTTCTAAAAACAAAATTTGTAAAACAACTTATTATAAAATAACAGACACATTCGCGTGAATAAGACACAATCATCATCGACAACAAACATGCTAATGAAACAACTTAGTTAATTGTCACAGAAGAACTTATTAATCTAAATGACGTCAGGGACCTAGCCCTAACCCGCTTATTTTAATATTATTACTAAACTTATAATTGCAAGTAGCTACTTACACTGTCACGCAATAACACACGAGAAAAAATTTTCTTTCTAATTAGATTAATTTAAAATATTGTATCATGTTCTGTTCTTGTCGTTACCAATTATACATATGATATAAAATACGTTTGTATATTACAGACAATTTTATTTCGTCATATGATATAAATATGATATATGATATAAATTAATTCTATAAAGATAATTTATATGATATAATATAAATATGATATATGATATAAATTAATTCTATAAAGATAATTTAAGATAAAACAAATTTTTAAAAAATAAAGATAAATATGAAATACTTGATAACTTACTTGAATGTCCACATTATATCAAAGATTATTATAATTAGCTAAACCAAACTTGATAAAAAACATAAGAATGCTGCAAAATGGAATAAATAACATCTTAACTATTGAATGTTAAAATGCAAATGAACTCATGTTTCCATGAAAAAATAGATTTATTCTATCTTTTTATACTAAAATTTTATTACAGTACTAATATATTTAATAAATATGAATACTGATATGAAATTTAATAATATTTCGATTCAAGACATAACTCTGTAAAATTTTAAAACGTCAAAATATTTATTGAAGGAAATTTTAGTTAGTTGTATATTGTTACGTCCAGACACACATCCTGGAATGGATGAGCAGTATGGAAGAACGTAACTTACTTACCCCGTGACACACTTTATTCGGGCGTGTGTATGGATCGGGTCGAACGAATGTGAAAAGCCTGACAGGTTAGCGACCGAAGGTCTCTTTATCGCTGCGTTTTTAAGCCTATTCGTTCGATGGTCCCTTTTCGATAAAGGAATTTAATCCTTGTTATGCGAAATAGGACCTAATGCGATCTCAGGATTTAGGGAAGAGAACGGGTTAAATATGTAACGATGCATCCCGGTGCATCGTTACGATTCCCAGCATAACATCCACCGGAAGCTGCCGCCCGGCAGAACACCCACCAGGCAGAGGCAGGGGGGCGCGGTGCATCCACCTTTTTTAAGAGTACTTTGCTAAATGCAAAGCCGTTAGTTCAAATTCGGCCGAATAGAGCCAATGTGGCCCGAACCGCCGACCGGCGAAAGCCCGCGTTCGGCTCCTACCCGAACCCCTTCGAACGGGCCCGACCGTACCGTTTCCCGAAAACCCGTTCGGAAGGGGTTATACCGCGTGCCGCGGGCAATTAGCCCGTATAAAAAGGACCACATTTCAGGTCTAATTATATTTTCCTGATCCGCTCTAAGCTGTACGCTTCAGTAGCAATCCTGAAAATCCTAGCAAAAGCACAAGTAGCCGAAGACAAAAGGTGGAGCGAGCTCCGTCTCAGACGAGTGATCTTGTTCTTCGGTTCTGACGCACAAGTGCAATCCGCCTGATCCGCAGCTGAACTCTTACGGAAGGTGGAGCTCTGAGCCGCCCCGGATCGAGTGTTCTCGATCCAGCTGCATCGCGTAACCTATCCTTCGCGACACGATCCCATACCGCACGTGCAAACCACCGGCGAGCGCATATATTTGTTGTCAACGATACCGTCGATTAAAACGCTCTGCGTATTTCAGAACCGCGTCATCCGCCGCCGCGACTAAAAGCGCATCGTTTGCAACGAAACGAACGCGAACTGAAAATAGCGGCATCACGAAACAAACGATTGAACACCATTGCGTCTCTTAAATATCACGCCGCCGTTATTAAAGCGCATAGATTATAATCAACCGAACGCGGACTTTAAATCGCGGCGCCGAGAAATAAACAGTTCCGCGAAAACACCCGTCGATTTCGAGAACCCGAGAATTCTCGGAGCATCGGAATCCCTCGCGGAAAAAGCGCCGCAAAAACTCGCGCCGTCTGGCGCTTTCGTAAACACAAGCCGGCGTTCGAGATCGAGACCGAAATTAGATCCGCAATTATTGTCGTATAATTAATCGGACAACACGGACATTATACACGAATATTATATTCACACACACACGCTCACACACTCATACACACATACACACACATCTTTTCTGTACATACATACATATTATTAGAATAAACACAATTAAACTGATCACACCGCGTATTTTCATTCAAACGAACCTTGCACCGGCGATCTATCCGCGTTGCGAAAAACGTCTGAAAATACGACTGTTACAAATAATTAATTTATATATTAAATTAAAAATACATATATTTAAAAAAAAAATAAAGAAAGAAAAATACATCTTAGCAGCTATGCGTGAGTGAATATCTGTGTGTGTATGTACAGGGTGCTTCTGCATCATACAAATCGGTAAGTCGGGTTGCCCATCTGACGATTGGTCCTCTTTTACCGACCTCGCATAATTGAAAAATAATAAAATCCTTCCAAAAAAAACCATACAAAGGTAAAAAAAATACGCCAAGTACATAAAAAATATTCCACCTTGTATGCAACAAAACATTTAATAAAAAAATACCCTTATAATAAATGATTTATAAAAATTTTCCCTTAAATAATATATATAATTTTCCTAAAAAAAATCAAAACTAAATATGAAATCAATGATTAATTAGCCAAGTACATTGAAGCAATTAATAGGGATTTGTAATTTGAAATATTTGTCACAAATTCAATCTTGCATTTATATATTAGATTCTCGACAAAATAAAAATGAATTTCAAAATAAGTTCCAAGTAAATTTGGAATTAAAAAAATTAAGATCAAAACAACTTACAAAAACTTGGCGTGCTCGGGTCACATTATAATACATACAATTTTACAAAGTTTGCGAATTATATACCTGTAATTAATTTCAATTATAGAAATATGTGAATTATAATACGACCCGAGCACGCCAAGTTTAAGCAAAATAATGAAAGGAATCAATTGTAACGAAAACATAGTTATTTTTATGAAAAAATATGTAATTGTTAATTGCAAATTACATATTTTTTTTTTCGAAACATTTATGCATAAGAAAAATTTTATATTCCACTAAAATATTTATCAATCTTATTTGTTATCTCAAGATTACAAAAAAAATGTATAATCAAAAAAATGATATTATTTTGTGTATATTAGTTTATCGTTATTTACGCCAAAACTTGTATTTTTCTTTATTAGATACTAGTGTTTGTCAATATAAAAGAGCAAAATATTGTTGAAAAATCAGTTTGGATTCAATACTCGTGTGTGCTGTAAACAGTTATATCATGACTACTTTATTCTGACTTTGGACGAGAAAGACATTTTTCGCAAAAATAGCTGGAAACAACATAAAACTAAAAGTAAAAATAATAAATTAAAATTAAAAATTAAAATTACATTAAAAAAAGTAGATATGATTTTCGTCGTATCCTTAATCTCAAAGAAAATTATACATGCAAAAAAAAACCCGTAAATATGTTTGATTTATGTGATATTTATGTGTTAGATATAAAAAAATATAGATGTGATATTTATGTCAGTTATGGAAAAATATCGATACGATGGTATCAATTTTAAAATATAATATACACTCGTTAACAAAATTATCGCATAGGTAATAAGGTATAATTTCATGTCAAATTTTCGCATAACTTCACATAAGTCACTTCACTCCGTCAAAAATGGTTGTATTTGAAAAATGTTTTTTCACAGTTTTAAGCTTTTTAATATCAAGTCTATCTACAGTAGAACTTGTATTATTTTTATAGAAGAATAGATTATAGATTTATATACGACGTTTTATAATAATTAAAATTCTGTTATCATAATTTGATATTGTTATAAACTTCAAAAATTATTTATTATATCATATTATTATATTTTAAATTGATAATACTTTAGTCATATTTTTAATAATAATTAAATGAAAATTTAATAGAATTATAATAATGTACATAAATTTTCAGTACTAATGCGTCATTGTTATTGATCAGCGTCATCGAAGAAATTACTGAAGATCAATAACGTCATCAAAGAGATCAATCATTTTAAAGAAAGGAGTTAATCATTTTCTCGATGTCATTTCTATTATTACATCATCAAAAAGATTTGTTTCGTAGAACATGGTCAAATGTTGAATGAATCAAGAGATTAATTGTTTGACCTATTATAAAGAATATCTATTCCACATCAATATGATTAATATTATGAACAATATGAGAGAATCTGATTTGTTGTAGACTACTAAAAAGTCGCGAAGAATGAATTTAATGAGTGATTTATGTAAACATCGAATTTTGAATACTTGAAAAATTTTATTATTAAATTCTTATTTTGTATTAATTTCAGGTGTATAAATAATCTTTTTAATAAAAAATTTAATAACAAAAAATAAAAAATTTTCTCTTTCTTCTTTTAATATGAAGCTTAGAAATGACATCAAAGACTAAAAAAGATAGAGAGTGTAATCTATCATAATACGAAATATATCTTTAATTTTTTATTTATGATCGCTACTTTTAATGAGCAAGAGACATAAAATTGTAATATCATCTCATTTACACAGAACGCTGTCTTTTGCTTTAATTTTGTTATCTTGACATTACTAATGTTACAGATCATTTTAACGAGTATTTAAAAAAATAGAATATTGATACGTGACAGAAAGAGTTAAATAATTTACATAATTATATGATATAAAATTATTTTAATATGCTTATTATTATTTCTCATGCTTCCGCTAACAAGTTATATCTGTTTACCTTGTAGCGTTCCTATAGCGATAAATATTTTATCTTCAGAAATTATTATAAAATCAGACTGCAACTTTATCGCAGGATATCCTGTACGTTACATTGCATTTTAACAAAGTACAATATAATATGAAAGAGAAAAACATGAATATATTTCTTTTATTCAAAATATATTGTATTCCAAAATTTGTTATTTATTATCTAGTCACTCAAATATGTATTTCAATTTTATATTTTATTCAAAGTTAAATTATTTTTTTTTTCAAACCTGTTTGTACGTATATTTCTGGTTGTTATATGTTTTCAAATTTGGAAAAATGTTTTTTATAAGTTATTATATATATTATCTATAATATCACTCTCTCTCTCTCTCTCTCTCTCTCTCTCTCTCTCTCTCTCTCTCTCTCTCTCTCTCTCTCCTTCCCCCTCTCCCTCTGTTGCTGTCATACTTCTTTATACATTAAGTTTATCAAAATTGTTAATTTCTTCTATAAATTGATTTATTTTTGAAATTTCTTTTTTCAAAAAAGTAATGTAAAAATTTTATATTAATGCATAAAATTAGTTTTTTATAAAAAATAATAATTTTTAAATTGATGCAAAACAACTGACACATTTAAATATGTACAAATTAAAATAAAAATATGAAATATACACATCTAATGGAATTAGAGATATATGAAAGATAAATATACACATTTATGCATCACATATCAAATTAGATATTCTAATCTTGACAAGGATAAACATATATAAGATTATATATTCTCATCAAATTTTTTGTGTGACGGTTCGTTTTTTCATAATTAATGTTTTTACGTTATAAAAACGTTATAAAAAAATTATAACGTTATAAAAAAAATATTCTTGACATGGTACAGTTATTAAAACTTGTAATCGTTTCATGTCGAAGTTTCGGACAAACATTTGCAATTCTGATAGAAACGCTTCAATAGCTGTCGCATGATTGTCTTTTTACACACGAATATGATAAACGTACCGATATGTTGCATAGCGTCCATTACAAAAATAATAGAAAGGACGTACAGCTTAATTACCATATTATCAATGTCATAATCAAACATAAATCCGCCCGACGTTATTACAATCCAATTTATGGCCATTATGATAAATAACATGATAAACAGACTCAGATATAGATTGAACCTGCAAATGAATATATCTCTTTCATATTTTCTAAAGTTATGATATATTTGATTCTAAAAGTATATTATAAGCGAACACATTTCAAGTAATTTGTTTTATAGAGATAATATTTCCTTCGAAAAAAATCATAAGTATTTAATATTATTAAATATATTTAAATAACTATATAATAAATACTACTAACTTAATTAAAATTGAAAACAACGATGTATTTGTACAAGAGAGCTCGTATTTATGAAAATATATTGTCGCCAATAAAGAAGTCTCAAAATGATTATCTCTCTCTTTCTCTTGTATCGGAAATGATCAAAAAAGCAATTGATTTTATTAAAAACAATACCGTCGACTACTGTCAACGGTATAGTTTTTAATAAAATAAATACAGCGGGATATGTCTTATTGTTAAACAAGACTGATTATACATTGATATAAAAATGTTTGTGTACAAACCATCGCTTGTTGTCATTATAAAATCTGCTTTCTGAATCTCTCAGACGACGGGCTGTGTCCTTTTCATAACGCATAATTTTCAATGCTGTGTAAATAGATAAGCAAATGCTACTAATAACACAGATACTTTGCGGCACGTAAAAATACAATCGAGACGCTGCAAAAATAAATAATAAACTTCTTTACATCACATATTACACATATAACAAAAGAACATACTTTTATTTTTAAAATGAATTCTCAAAGTGTTATTTCATTAGATGATTTTGTTAATAGAGTTATGTTAATAGTGACATACACTCACCGTCAAAACTAACAAAATCCATGCAAGAATACAGTCCAATTCTATCAGAATGACTTTTCTGCATCTTGGGAACGAAATCCATGATAATATAAATAATAGTAAAAATGGAGGAACCTCCCCAAGCAAAGATAGAATATATTAATTTTTTTCTCTCTTGTTTCGCTCTCTTGTTTCTGTGTAACAAACGAAAATCTCTGCGAAATGCAAAGTTTGCTTTACAATTAATTAATAACAAATAAAATAAATTGCGATGCAAATATTAAAATAAATATGTCTTCCATCAAATATCTTGAATGTCTGCTTTATATAAACTATAAAAAAAATTATTTATGCTATATAATATCACAAAATAATAAATATTACCATATATTCTAATAGATCGATATTTTAATAACATTAGATTAATTTTGGTTTAGCAAAATGTTTAATAAAAAAATTAGAAATCAATTTTCGTTAAAAAGCTTGAGTATTTTGTATTATTATATATAAAAAAGAAAAAAAAATTTAAACAATATTGGCTTAAGATTTATAAAATTTAAAGAATGAAAAATCACAAAACGATTAGTAATATTATACTATGAATTTTATTATAATTTAATATAACTTTATTAATAATTTAAAATATATTATCATAAAAATATATTTTTCCTTTAACAATTGGATGCTTATAAAATACACATCAATTTTTTGTTTTAAAAAAAGCAGATTAGAAATTTCCAACAAAAAAATGTATATATTTCTGAAATGTAAACTGTATCATATCTGCATTAAAATTATCGTTTCTCAAACCAAATAATTAATTTTGTACTACAAATTAACAAGACACGGCATATTTTTTGGGATCAATGCAAATCATTATTCTTTTTTATCTTTATGGATTGTTATAGACATAACCTAAATGTTTTATACATATCGCACATGAATATTTTATCATATCGTGTTCGCGTCGTATAAAAAATATCACAATCTTATCAAAATAAATTTATATTATAGATAAAATATAGCACATATATACATTTATATATATATATATATATATATATATATATAATATAAACGATGTTATTTATATATTTATATATATTAAACGATTTTATATATATATATATATATATATATATATATATATATATATTAAACAATTTACCTAAATGTCCACCAAATGTCGAAACTCATTACACTTAACCAGAAAGAACTTGACAAATGAGAGAAATAGTGGACTGAAGCTGGAAAAATAAAATAAACAATTTTAAAATGTCACTAATTGACAAGTATTTTGTATATTATTAGAAACTATATTATATTATAAAAAGTTTTTCTTCAACTTTGACAGTAAGAATTTATCACAGAAAACAATATAAATAATTAATACACGATAATATTAAATTAATTAATGTTTTGATTTCAGAAATATATAACTCTTTAACTATATAACTCTCATCACAATTTCAATAATATTATTAAAAAAATATTAGGGGCAGTAACATAAATTGTGTTTTACGTTAAAATAAAATAAAATATTATTTTAATTTTTTCTTATTAAGTCTTGTTTAGAATATTATAATATATCGTACATTTTTCGAATTTTATCGTAAAAAAAATTAATAAAAATTAAGTATCAATGTACTTTAGCTAACGTGTACGATATACTAAAATTTTATAAACACAAGAATTAATAGTGAAAAAAAATTGATAATTATGTATAAAAGGGGCCTTCCTCTCCGATTTGGTTTATTTTTAAATATATTGTAGGGCAGGTCCTCCCGAATAATTTCATATACATATATACTCAGAAAAACCTGCAACATATTTAAAAATAAACCAAATCGGAGGGAGGCCCCCTTTTATGCATAATTATCAAAAAATTAATATTATTTTATTTTATTTTAACGTACAATAAAATTTAAATTAGTATTTATCTTAAATATTTTTTTGGTACAAAAATTAATAAAAGAACTAATGTATACACTGCATTGACTGCATTATTACATGATTTAGCTATACTGTACCAATTATGACACAGATGAAATTTGAAATAGCTGCTCCGTTTCATAATAATGGATGAAACTCTAATAAAACGAATATAGTTTCTATTATGTATCCGAAAAATAACAAACTGCAGTATTTGCGCAGCATGAAACTATGTATGTTACGAAGCTTCGGCAGCATAGAATACACCACAAATGTTGTCAGCAAACACAACACAGACACTATACGGCTACTCAAAAATAAAAATATTAATATCTTGAACTTTTCATTCAAGTTTTTTCTCTTGTCTATTCTTTTCATCATTTCGCTCACAGCCTCCAAGCAGATAAATGCATAAAATTGATTATGATCCACAATGGCCAAACAATAAGATGCTGATTCGACAAATAAATCAAAAAAAGGAAATTTCGAAATGAGGAAGATACAGAGAGCCGTTTGCGAAGAACATATAATTGAATTCTGTATCTTCGTAAGAATCGTACGAATGAAAAGCAAAAGATTTAGTTTCCTGGCACGGATTTTGAATGGTTAGTGGAAAAAGCTCATCCACTTTCTTATCTAATCTTTCATACGAGAACGAATCGTTTGAAAGATTAGATAAGAAATATACATTTGGGAAAACATATTCATTTTCACTAGCAATGCAATTCTTGCCAGTAAAGAGATCACCAAGCGGACAACACAGTTGAATGCAAGTTATATTGGCACAGTTTTCGTATGAAACAATGTGATTTTGATTATTATTATTATTCGTTTCGTTTCTAATAAAGTTCATATGATTATATGTCTCTTTCCATATGTTGTTCTCTTTATTGTCACTTGTGAAGTTTCCCGAAGTTGTTGAAGATGAAGTGATAAATAAAACTACGCAAGACCAAAATGCAAAACTTTCACCACACATTGCCAACAATTTTTGAAATCAATTTTTTTTTAATACACAATTTCTTAATCTGCTATGTTATGACTACAGCGAATTTTTCGAAATGCGCATGATATTGTTCGTTTACGATGATTAAGTCACGACAACAACACTCTCTAAAGACAAAACTTGTAAAACCAGTTATTTTAAAATAATAGACACATTCGCGCGATTAATAAGACACGATCATCATTGACTTGTTAATGAAACAACTTATCTATTGTAAAATATACTGTATATACCTCGCAGAAAAAAAATTTATTGCTAAGTTTCAAAAATACTATGATATTTAAGAATTATATGAAGTCACGGATAAATAATGAAAACTTTTTTATTTATACTAAATATATCGTATGATTGAAAAATTTATCTTAAAAAACAATTAAAAAATCACAATTACGGATGTAAAAAAAATTGTATTAATTTTTTTATCTCACATTAAAGATGATAATATATCTATTTAAATGGAAATTGTGGAATTTTATGCAAAATCCGGTTTGCAGTTATTTATATTTCATGTATCGGAGGATTTACATCAGGGACAATTTATTAAAGGAATATTGGATTTTTAGGATATTGAAGATAAAATGATAGCACATATGATGCCGACTATTTTTGACTGATATTTTTTATTTCTTTTTTAAGAAAATATTTTTTCATTCGCAGATTTCTTCAAAATAATACAATTATACAGGAAATGTAATGTACAAATTGTGTACAAATTGTAAATTATTAATGTACAAATTGTGTATCGTTCTGGATATAAAAAGATCGTGCATCCAGAAAAATATAAGTCAATTGCAAATACCATTTAATATCATTTATATTCAATATTATGATAAATTAAATGATTTATGTATTTAACAACTCATTTATACATGTATTTATGTGGGATATATGATAAATTATATTTTTGATATTTTTATAAATTCATATAATTCATATAATATAATTCATATAAAAAATATTTATACATAAATATACATATAGATATTAATGAGACATATAAAAGGCCTAAAAAGAAGAATAAAATTAACTGATGAGAGTTGTGTGTGCTGACAATAAAATAGTCAATAGACGTATGGAAAAGAAATAATAATAAATATATAATTAATATGATAAAACATTCATGGCGTCGACGCGGCACACGTAAAATATAATTATATGAACATAAATTGAAATCGAACATATAAAGAATTTTAAATAACGGATACATTGAAAATAATCGTGTTCAAATATTTTTATAATTGATTTGAATCAAGCGACGCGGTAGCATCGCAACGTCAAATATAATACATAAAAAACTGATAAAAAACTGGATCCGAGCAGTTGAGAGTCACAGTTTTCGACGCGGTGCTATCAAGTAGCTTATTCGGAATTTTACATCAAATAAATTTTCAACTAAAATATTTTAGAAACTAAAGCCGTAATCAAAAGTCTAACGGCACTTTTATGATATAATGAGGATACAAGCTTTCGATTGCGAGCAGTTTGAAGAAAATTGGTGCAGTCAATCCCGAGAAATGATAATCATGTGTCAGAATTGTGACATTTTTCATTTTTCTTCAAAATAAGATACAGAGTCATGAACAAATCTTCGCACGCACGAGCGAAGATTTGTTCATGACTCTGTATCTTATTTTGACGAAATTCAAAGCGATTTTGTCCCTCAATCTGCGTTCACATCGCGCAAATATGATTATTCTCTTTAGTGTGCAAAAATGCTTTAAGAGACAAAACTTTTTTTAAGAGACAAAACCATTTATGTACATATGTGTGTATACGTGTGAGAGATTAATTTATTGGATAATAATTTTCAAAAATCTCTTGGCAGTAAAAAATAATATTTCGAAAACGGAGTATCACAAAAATATAAAAACTGTGCCGTTAGAAAGACTTCTAAAAAGACTAATTTATACTATATTTATTATTATAACAATTTTCAAAACCACCCCTTAGGAGTGAACTCTAACACTCAGAAAATAAAGTTTTTTAAAAATACACGACTTACGTCCTTAGTTAAGATTTTTAAAAATGCATATATATTTTTTGCAGAAATAACATAAATTTTTACAAAATGTGATGATATCCCTCCGGAAACAACCTTACAAAAGTAAAAAAAATACGTCAAGTATATAAAAAAATATCTTAAAAAATCTAACATATATTTTTTGTAAAAATAATGTAAATTTTTACAAAAAACGATGATATCCCCCTAAAAAAATTTTATAAAGGTAAAAAAAATACGGTAAATACATGAAAAAAATCTTTAATAAAATCAAAAAATTTAAAAGAGTGATAAAAATAAAATATTTAAAAACCGATATAAGATCAATACTATTGGCTCTTTTGGCCAAAAATATTAATTTTTTCTATAAATCGATTAAGATATTTTCGAAATTTTTTTTCAAAGAAAGTGAAGCATAAAATTTGTATAACAATGCATAAAATCTGTTGTAATGGCGTATTCGATAGATCGTGCACGATTGCGGCCTACGTAAGGTCATAATTAAAGTCGGCATAAGCGACTACATTAAACCGTTAATAATTTCGCCCATAGCCTCCGTTATCTTCAATAGCTTACACTGCTGATCAATGGAAGGGCAACTCAACGGCCCTATGGCTCTCGAATGATCAGAGGTCAATGGCGAAGTCAGTGTGACAACCAAACGATTATAAGACAAAAAAAACGCACATATTTTTGTTATCCGGATACGGATTACCAGGCGTCGTCGCGATCCGAGTGCTGACTCGTCATCGCGACTCAGAACCTAATTCGAGGCGTTATCACGAAGAATTCGCTGCGTAACATTTTATAAAAATAAAGATAGTTCGTATTTATCACATGTATAAAATACAATAAAAAAAGTGCATACTAAACCACAGAATGAGTGCGAAAGCACTGATCCTGATTTATTCCATCTGTTTTTTACACAAAATAATAATTTTTAAATTGCTGAAGCTGAAAACAATTTACATCGCATTTAAATATGTACAAATTAAAATTAAAAGATGAGATATACACATCTAATGGAATTAGAGATATATAAAGGATACATAAATGTACACTTTTATGCATCACATATCAAATTAGATATCCTAATCTTGACATGGATAAATATATATAAGATTATATATTCCTATCAGACAAACTTTTTGTGTGACGGTTTGCTTTTCCATAATTAATGTTTTTCCATAAAAAAAATTATTCTTGACATGGTACAGTTATTAAAATCTGTAATCATTTCATGTCGAAATTTTGGAAAAAGATTTGCAATTTTGACAGAAACGCTTCAATAGCTGTCGCTGATTG